GGGATATATGCTGGAGTTCTAATGTCCTTTCTATTTTGGTACCTGGGAGAATTGTGCAGTCCCAAGCTTCTGATGGGGCTCACGCTGTTGGTGGAATGTGTCGCGGAGACCCCAATGTTATATTTCGCTGGATTCATCATAAAAAAAGTGGGTCATATACCATGCTTGCATGTCACTCTTCTTGCGTATGCTCTACGATTCGGAGCCTACTCATTTCTGAAAGAGCCCTGGCTCGTTCTGTTGATAGAGCCACTGCATGGGATCACGTACGGCCTCCTGTTCTCTGCCGCCACAGAGTACACGGATATCATAGCCCCCCCAGGGATGTCGGCGACTCTGCAGGGTCTGATGGCAGGAATACACTGGGGCATGGGTATGTCTAGCACACAGATACGACTTGATCTTTTCAATAGGCAAAAATTGTGAAACTTTCAGATGTGTAATTTTATAATTACAAAATTATATTTCTATACAACATTTGTGGTACTTTTACTGCACAGAATGGAACTGTAGAGTAACCTGATTTTCAATTTTGTTGCTACCAATCAATAGAATTTTATTTTTGATTTTTTGAAATTATAACCTAAAAAATACAGTATCAGTAAAATTCACCATTTTACCATATGCACAGTTCCTAATTTATTCAGACACTCATGTAGGAAAGCAAGTACTTTTTTTTGCACATGCAAAAGTGGGTGTATGACCACACACACACACACACACACACACACACTTGACCGAATGGCTTATTTCATCTATCTCAAAAAATATAAATAAAATGACGAGCAGAAATTCTCATGTAGATCATCGCATATTCACTGGCAGTGAATGCAAATTTGCAGAAGGGATTACTACATATACAGCTACTGACATGCACTGAGTGAACTCCATGCTATGACATTCTTTCATTCTGTTGTTCTACACCTTTTTTGCCCAACTTTTTAGTAGGTCCTTACTGATCAAAACTTTTTAATGGATTTCATTAAGACTTCACAAATATGCAGTTAACCTTTTTTTTTTAGTCAAATTAATATACTTTTGTATTTGATAACACTAGGACTTGGCATTGGCTCCCTGGTCGCTGGCCAGCTGTACCACGCCTATGGCGGAGTGGTGATGTTCCGCTGCTTTGCTTTCTCCTCCCTGATTGTATTGGTCATTGTCTGGCCACTGGAGAAATTCGTTGTCAGGAAGAAACATGTGAAAAAAGAACACACAGAAGAAGAGGAAGGTATGGTTGATTCATGTAATAACAATGAAAGAAAAAATTAATTTGGAGGTTTTTCTTTCTTTCTTTCTTTCTTTCTTTCTTTTTTTATTTTTGTTAAAGAAATGGTAGTTATCTAAAATGCATATATAAGAGCCATATTTGGCTTCTCGCCATGTTAACTATTACTTGCCCTTCTTTAACATTGTGTTAGATGCTGTGTTTCAGAAGTGTAGGTGCATTTTTTAGATATCAATTTTATTACCAGTAAAAGATGTAAAGTGCCTTTAAGGCATATGCACAGGCCATTTGAAGAAATGGAAAGATTAGCGTGAAGCCAGAAATGGCACCTGGGTTGAAAATGGTCTTGCGAGCTCACACCTAAATTTGTGGAGATTTGCATTTCATTTTTAAAAAGATAACTTGAACAATGGGGTATATGTGGACGTTTATAGAATTTTCTCCAGACCTGTGTTCGAAACAAATGTATTTATTGACTAAATTTACACTTTTTAAGCATAAATTGAATGTCAGCCTATAGTTTTAACGTTATCATAATCTATGAGCTGACCAATTGTAAGTCAGTGTATTTTTAACTGTTGGCCATGAGACATGTTGGTAGCACTTTTCTTTTAGACAAGGAAAACAACCAGAAGATCCCAGAAACTGCTGAGGAGATCCCCCTCAGTGCTGATGAAGAAAATGGTGTAAATTTACTTTCTCTGGAACAAAATGAGAATCAGGAGAGGGAGACGGAGGGAGAAAATCAGGATGAGAACAGAAAGATTTCACTTGTGGAGAATTCAGTAGCTTGAGACATACAGCTCAGCTCTGTTTACGTGAACATTTTTATTGTTGATTTTTAATGTTGAATTTTGAAATATCTGATGTCTATAATATAATATAATGTGACTTTTTTTGCTCAAAACAAAAGAAATATCAGGATTTTTACTTTTTATTTTTAATTTTTACTTTTTATGTACAGACACATCTGTGTCTGTATATATAGCTGTCACCTGTGTCTGTCGTCGTTGCCATCGTTGTGCACTTTCAGTGTTACAGTGTACAAATAAGATGAAAACAGTTTGACCTTTTGTCTTCAAAGTTACAGAACTGTTGAATATTCATAAAATACAGGGCAAGTTTAAAAATCAGCCAGATTGTACCATTTTTCCAAAAGTTCCGTATGCTGTTTTTTGCTTTTTTTCAGCATATTTTATCCACAAATAAAATAAAAACTGTTTGACCTTTTGTCATCACACCTATAGAACCGATGAATATTTATAAAATACAGGTGAAGCTCAAAATTCAGCCTGATTGGACCATTTTTCCAAAAGTTATGCTGTTGTTTTGCATTATTCAGCACATTTTATCTGCCCTTATACAAATAAAATGAGAACCATTTGACCTTTTGTCTTCAAATGTACGGAACTTAATTTTTTTCAGCATATTTTATCAAATGGCAAATTGGCAGACCAGCTTGATTATATTATTTTTTTTTCTTGATGCCTGTACATTTGACAGCTTTGCTGCCTTGTTCTACATTACATATTTAAAAACTTTGATCTGAATGAAACTGTTTGTCAATGTGTATAGCAATTCTTGCATCATTAGTTTTTATAGACCTATAGACCTATATCTTTAACACATAAACTGAGGGAAAATTTTATAAGCACTATGGGTTATATACGTTTGTGTGTGTTTGTGTGTCATACAAATAGTGAATTTTGTTGTTAATTGTGCTACAGATTACTGTGTGTAGCCCATTACATGTTATAAAAATACTTACTATATATTGTTACTTATTTACAGTATGTACTGTTGCTTGGTGAAATAATTGCTATATACAAATTTCAGGGCCGTAGCCTGAGCAAAATGCCAGGGGGGGCAGTAAGCGGACAGGAGGGGGCAAAGCCCCCGAGGGGGAAGGGTGTGGGAGGGGGTGTCCACCTCCCACGGTGTGGAAAATTTTTTAAATCTGTATGTATAATACTGCATTCTGGTGAATTTTAACTGTTATTAATTGCTCAATCAGAAGTCAGAAATTGCGATTATTTTTTTTGCACCTCAAATCCCAGGGGGGGCAGCTGCCCCCCCCAGAGGCTACGGCCCTGAATTTAAATAAGTAAAGATAAAAAGTAGTCCCCAGTCTCCCAACCATCCAAATAGCTCATAATTTTAAAGACGAGCATTTTATGAAAAACCATTTTAATTAAGTTTTGATTTGATGTTTTAATTGTTTTTTCTAATCCTCATTTTCATTTTTAAGATTTTTAATTAACATACTGTTTTGATAACCATTTAAGATGGTGTTTAATTTCTTAACATTGTATTTGAAAATTGACTAAAGGAAAATTAAATCACTTTTGGGTGTTTAATTTCTTAACATTGTATTTGAAAATTGACTAAAGGAAAATTAAATCACTTTTGTAATTAGAAGTTTATGCTACTGACTTTGTATTTTAGTAACTTGTGTCATATATTTATTCAACTTTATTTAAGATAACCTGCAGGTTTTTAAAACAGAGTTTTAACCAAACATACCTAATATTTTAATGTTTAATATGTTTTTATGCCAGCAGTACAAGATGCCCTCTCGGTAAAATTGATTTTAAAATTACTCCACATACCTAACATTAACTAATACTTAAACAATGCATAGAAAAAAAAGAAAAAGAATGAAACTTAAAGGCATAATAACTCTTTGTATGAGATCTATATTTCACAAAAAAAACCTTGTGAATAACTCATAGAAATAAAATATATTCTGTTTTACCACAAAAACAGCAGTTATAGCTTTTATTCTGATATTTGAACTTGTCTTTAGACCACGTGACCTCCATTGATGTCTATACTCTGTTAAAATCTCTTAAGAGATTTTAACAAAAAACCAAACTTTTTAGAAAAAAACCAGGGACTAACTTTGAATATAAAAATGGATTCATTAACCATTGGTAAGCATGGGAAAATTGTTGTTTACTCCAGGAAAATTCATTTTTTGGCCGAAACGAAGAGTTATTATTGCTTTAAGATTATCAGCAAAATTGTTTGAGATAGAAACTTAAGTAATTATTATTGTAATTTTCTTTTATTCTTATTCTTATTGGTCTTTTAGTTGGTTCTCTTTTCACAACTAGTGAAGACTATTTTGTTAGCTTGTGAAGACCATGAAAATAAATTTTATAAATGGGGACGATTTTTTCGTTTAAATTTCCAAGTGAAAATAACATTGGATGCTTTTGCTCCCCCCCCCCCCCATCTCCTCGTTCACAAAGTCATTAAAGCATTTTATTTTACATTGTGACATATCAAATCTCGCACACTTAAATAAAAACCCTTTTCATTATTATTTATTTATTTATTTATTTATTTATTTATTTATTTATATTTTGGCCTGGCATAATTGTTATTGAAACTATAGAAAACTTTAATATCGAGATATCTTGACTACATTTGTGGCACGACAGGCGCTCTTTTCTTGTGTCTCCTCTTTTATAAAAGTAACAATCAATTACTAACAAAAAGTGGCAGAGTTACACGTACCAACACCAATATGCAGCTATGAACAATCAAACGCATCGAAAAATGTTTAGACTATGTAAGACGTCTGTTAGTACCTTGATCAAGCCATTATCTCTCCCGTCATTTATATCTGTCCATGCAAATTGCTTCACATTTCTCGGGACACAAGGAGTTCCTGAAATAGCATAAAAAAGTAAAAGGGCTTCCCATGCAACCAATAAACCAGACTGATGTATAGCAGTTATGTATAATTTACCAAAAAAAAAATCACAACAAATGATACTGGCTTTAATATATATTAAAATCATGTATCTGTATTTGTATCCGAAACTCACCGGGTTCCCCCTTTGGTCCAGGAGGGCCCCTTTCTCCCCGACGCCCGTCTCTTCCATCTCTTCTCGTCAACTTCTTCCAGTCCATTACTTCTCACCTAGACCCCTTAGATGAGACGGACTTCCATGATGTTAACATTCCCTCACAGTACCAGCTCACAGTAGAACAAGTGGAAAGATCTCTCATTAATATTAACACAAACAAGGCATCCGGTCCTGATAATATACCGAACTGGATTCTCAAAGACTTTGCTGGAGTTCTCGGTGCACCAGTACAAAAGGTATGTGCAATCTGGAACAATACCATACGTCAAGGAAAGCTACCAACAATCTGGAAATGTGCCAATGTAGTGCCACTGCCTAAAATTAAACCAGCACTGAGCGTGGAATATNGTTCTTTGTCTGTACATTTGACAGCTTTGCTGCCTTGTTCCAAAAGTTCTGTATGCTGTTTTTTGCTTTTTTTCAGCATATTTTATCCACAAATAAAATAAAAACTGTTTGACCTTTTGTCATCACACCTATAGAACCGATGAATATTTATAAAATACAGGTGAAGCTCAAAATTCAGCCTGATTGGACCATTTTTCCAAAAGTTATGCTGTTGTTTTGCATTATTCAGCACATTTTATCTGCCCTTATACAAATAAAATGAGAACTTAATTTTTTTCAGCATATTTTATCAAATGGCAAATTGGCAGACCAGCTTGATTATATTTTTTTTTCTTGATGCCTATACATTTGACAGCTTTGCTGCCTTGTTCTACCTACATATTTAAAAACTTTGATCTGAATGGAACTGTTTGTCAGTGTGTATAGCAATTCTTGCATCATTAGTTTTTATAGACTATCTTTAACACATAAACTGAGGAAAATTTTTATAAGCACTATGGGTTATATACGTTTGTGTGTGTTTGTGTGTCATACAAATAGTGAATTTTGTTGTTAATTGTGCTACATATTACTGTGTGTAGCCCATTACATGTTATAAAAATACTTACTATATACTGTTACTTATTTAGAGTATGTACTGTTGCTTGGTGAAATAATTGCTATATACAAATTTAAATATGTAAAGATAAAAAGTAGTCTTCAGTCTCCCAACCATCCAAATAGCTCATAATGTTTAAAGATGAGCATTTTATGAAAAACCAATTTAATTAAGTTTTGTTTTGATGTTTTAATTTTTTTTTCTAATCTTCATTTCATTTTTAAGATTTTTAATTAACATAGTGTTTTGATAACTATTTAAGATGGTGTTTAATTTCTTAACATTGTATTTGAAAATTGACTAAAGGAAAATTAAATCACTTTTGTAATTAGAAGTTTATGCTACTGACTTCGTATTTTAGTAACTTGTGTCATATATTTATTCAACTTTATTTAAGATAACCTGCAGGTTTTTAAAACAGAGTTTTAACCAAACATACCTAATATTTTAATGTTTAATATGTTTTTATGCCAGCAGTACAAGATGCCCTCTCGGTAAAAAATGATTTTAAAATTACTCCACATCCCTAACATTAACTAATACTTAAAAAATGCATAGAAAAAAAAAAAAAGAAAAAGAATGAAACTTAAGATTATCAGGAAAATTGTTTGAGATAGAAACTTAAAGGGATAATAACTCTTCGTTTTGGCCAAAAAATGAATTTTATTGGAGTAAACAACAATTTTCCCATACTTACCAATGGTTAATGAATCCATTTTTGCATTCAAAGTTAGTCCCTGGTTTTTTTCTAAAGAGTTTGGTTTTTTGTTAAAATCTCTTAAGAGATTAAAACAGAGTACAGCCATCAATGGAAGTAACGTGATCTGAAGACAAGCTCAGATATCAGAATAATAGCTATAACTGCTGTTTTTGTGGCAAAATAGAATATATTATATTTCTATGAGTTAACAATGTTTTTTATTGTGAAATAAAGATATCATACGAAGAGTTATTATCCCTTTAAGTAATTATTATTGTAATTTTCTTTTATTCTTATTCTTATTGGTCTTTTAGTTGGTTCTCTTTTCACAACTAGTGAAGACTATTTTGTCAGCTTGTGAAGACCATGAAAATAAATTTTATAAATGGGGACGATTTTTTCGTTTAAATTTCCGAGTGAAAATAACATTGGATGCTTTTGCAGCAGATTTTCCCAATTATCTATTAATTTACACACTTTCTGCATATTTATGTACTATCGATTTTTGTTTAATTTTTAATCAATTTTGTTATCAAATACAGTATAGTTTTGCAAAGTGCGCTCCCGTTATCTGTGTGATTTTATCACATTCTAACTTACTGGTAGAATGCCGGTGGACATTAAATTTATGGCGAACATAAAACTGCCCATCTATAACTGTTGGACTGTCGCATTCAGTGCCATTGAAAGTAAACCAATATCTGCGACAGGCTTCAGGGTTTCCAGGAGTGGCCATGACACGGATAATGCCATGGAAACCAACACGGAGCATGGTTGATCCCTTCGCTTTGACAAACCTCACGTCCTGAAGTAAAGTGTAGAAACAATTTTCATAATTTGGTTTTCTGGGTGCGTCTGACTTATCAAATCTCACACACTTAAATAAAAACCCTTTTCATTATAATTACTATTTTATTTATTTATTTATTTATTTTGGCCTGGCAGAAATGTTATGGAAACTATAGAAAACTTTAATATCGAGATAACTTGACTAAATTTATGGCACGACAGGCGCTCTTTTATTGTGCCGACTCTTTTATAAAAATAACAATCAATTACTTACAAAAAGTAGCAGAGTTACACGTACCAAGGATGTATATTGATATATTCAATATACGTCCTTGCACGTACCAACACCAATATACAGCTATGAACAATCAAACGCATCGAAAAATGTTTACACTATATAAGACGTCTGTTAGTACCTTGATCAAGCCATTATCTCTCCCGTCATTTATATCTGTCCGTGCAAATTGCTTCACATTTCTCGGGACACGAGGAGTTCCTGAAATAGCATAAAAAAGTAAAGGGCTTCCCATGCAACCAATAAACCAGACTGATGTATAGCAGTTATGTATAATTTACCAAAAAAAAATCACAACAAATGATACTGGCTTAAATATATATTTTAATATATTTTAAAAAATCATGTATCTGTATTTGTATCCGAAACTCACCGGGTTCCCCCTTTGGTCCAGGAGGGCCCCTTTCTCCCCGACGCCCGTCTCTTCCATCTCTTCCGTCGGTGCCGTCTTTTCCATCCTTTCCGTCTTTAAAACATTGCTATAAGATGAAAACTCTCTTCAGAAGTCTACCAGGACACGTATTAAAAAAACCTTCACAATATTTCAATTGTATGATACTCAATGTATATGAATAAATTTGTAAATATAAAGGAATTCCCAAGTTTCACACGGGCGAAATTAAGACGGTTTGTTGACATTATTACTTTATTATTGAATTGACACACCTGTCGAAAAACACTCAAATTTCCTAAATAGCACAATGTGCGTAAAAAGAAAACAAAATGAAAAATTAAATGCATATTAAGGCGAAATTACGTCCAAAGCTTTTTATTACGAGTAATGCCATAAACATGCCTCAAAATTTATAAATTAATCTAGAGCTAGAAAACATGTTCGTGTCCATGCATTTTTTTTAATAATTAGACTCTTATTAGAGAATCGAACTTCAGACCATAACAACAGAAAACTAACGACTATTTCGAATAAAAGGCGGCCTGTTCATATAACCTTTGACGTAGCGCCTTGCAAATGTTGACCGGTAGCACCGACTGCTCCTACCTGACCCTGGGCGTTTGATATCAACAGGCCCAAAAAACCCATTGCTGAAACAACCAAAAACGCTTTCGTCAAGTTATTCATAATGATGAGAAGGACTTGAATAGTCTTCGGCTGCGAAACTTGTATTCTGTTAGAATATATGCAATGGCAGACGTCCTGTTATAAAGTGGCGATGAGTTCAGTTTCAGTAGTTACCGGGTAATGTGTCGCCCCCAGATATATTTTCTACTGTTCAAAGACTCCGTTGGCGAATTTTTGAATGGAAAATACAGGTAGATGCTTTATCACTTACCTTGGTGCTAACGCAACACACACACACACACACACACACACACGTATGCACTCTCTCACAACTTAAATAGTTAGCAAATTTAAGTAATAATAGCAATAAATCTCAAACCACGGTTTTTTGTTTAAAAAATGCCCCCTTAGACTTTTAAAGAGCTAGATCACACTTGGTAGCAATGTACGTGGTAAATGCGAATTAACTCTGTCTAATTATTTTAGTCTGATATGATAGAAATGTATTTCGAAACTTTATGATTATAAGATTTTGTTTGTTATTGCTGTGTTGTATTTCTCCCAAAGATGTTGATTTAACAAGAATTTCGATGAAACCGTGATGTCGATATCAAATTATGAAAAAGAACACATTAATTTGTTTACTTCATCACAAAGGCGATATATATGTACTCATCAGCCGACTCGCCATCCTCTTCATCTAGGCACAGACTGAAAAGAAAGTAATAGACTACTAGACAACTGGAATGAAGGAAACGGGTAACACTAAAAAAGAAACTTTTTCGTCTTTTCACCCCCTGCACATCTATAATAGCCTACGACCCTTAAACCCTTAATTATTTATGTGTGTGGGAATCTCGGATGGCTCTTTTTTGCTTAACAAATGGTCGATAAAATTAGAACCCGTACTAGTAGAATGTATAAAAGGGTGCATGGCATGTACAGCCAAGCGTGGTTTAATAATTATAATTCAGGAGGGTCCTTTTTGGGGTAGTCATCACAGTTCACTTGAAATAAAATCATGAATTCACAAATCACAGTAAAAGAAACTCACGTTTCTCGGGGAAATAAAAAGAGGCTTTCGCTGGTAACGAAAATACCCAATTGGAGCCTCATTTACTGAACATGGACTTACTAATAATGGAAAATAAACTCTCTTTCAGCCCTTCCCCAACATCCTCATTTTATTCAACGTTTTTATCTTTTTAAACACAGGCTTTCTTGAGGACGCGAATCTTTCCCTTCCCCCCC